CCAAGCAGTTTACAGTCATCTAGTAATTAGTAAAACCCTATCTTCCCTAACCAAGGACACTTAAAAGTAAATCGTTTACACTTCTCCTCTGCAACCGGAGGGTAAATAGCTTAAATCATCCTATTTGGTGAGATAGGTTACAAAAATTCAATTAGTGCCATTTGTGCCAACCACACCCAAGGCTGATGGGTGGTGTGTGGATCCCATGTAGACACTAAACTCTCAGAGCCATGCAGGGGACATATGCCTATTCCTCAGGCCTCTGTGGTCCCACTATACTGTGGGCTTTTCAGTGGTGAGACTAAAACCAGCTGGCAAGAAAAGGCCAACTTGAATATAGGCCTAGATGCCCAATTTCATTCCTACTGAGACAGGCTAGTAGTAAGCCAGGACAGATGGAATAGGGAAACTAAGGCAGATAGTTAAATGCCCAAGCAGTTTACAGTCATCTAGTAATTAGTAAAACCCTATCTTCCCTAACCAAGGACACTTAAAAGTAAATCGTTTACACTTCTCCTCTGCAACCGGAGGGTAAATAGCTTAAATCATCCTATTTGGTGAGATAGGTTACAAAAATTCAATTAGTGCCATTTGTGCCAACCACACCCAAGGATGTGTGAAGTCAGGGGATTAAATCTCATTTTGGTACATCAGCATAAAACTGCTGGCTATTCTCTTGAGATTCTCCCCTCAGACCTCCCCTAAACTCCCAGCCTTTAAAACCATCAAGATGAAGGACCCAGGGTGTGCTCTCCCTCTGTGAGCATGCCCACACCTTTCCCTATCACTCCCCTCCCCCCAAGACACATTATCTTTGCTTTTCCAAGGGCCCTTCTGCCTCTTTAACTTGTTTTCTATGCCTACACAGCCCAGCTGGCTCAGTTCTTCTACTTCTGTGACTTTCTAAGCAAACTTTCTCTTGTAATTTGAGTTCTTGGCTCTGAATTTTTTTTTAATTTTTTTTTTTGCTAAACTCAAGAACCAAGGTGTAACTTCACTGGTAATATCTGGTGCCATTTGGCCAGCAACATCTCAGGTAACACTACGGTTCCCTTGGGCTCATAGGAGTGGGCTCAGCAGAGATGGAACTCCGATGCTCAGACAGGGTGTGTTTTCTTTGCCACATTTCTCTAATGTGTTCTTGTCTTCTCTCCATGCCTTGCCTCTAAGTCACCGCTGCCTAATTGTTTTTCTTTCTATTGAATAGTTTTAGAGATTTTTTTTAAAAAACAAGTTTTTAATTGATTTCAGATTTTTAAAAAAATTTTTTTTATTGAGTTCAGAGAGGAAGGGAAAGGGAGAGAGAGATAGAAGCATCAATGATGAGAGAGAATTGTTGATCAACTGCTTCCTACATGCCCCTTACTGAGGATCAAGCCTGCAACCCAGCCTTGTGCCCTGATAGAGAATCAAACTGTGACCTCCTGGTTCATAGGTTGACGCTCAACTACTGAGCCGCACTGGCAAGGCTATTGTTTTTCTTCTGAAAAGGCAGTGTTCTCCTATCCTCCTCCTTGTTCTTTTGACTCCATTCCTCAAGCAAGAAACAATTGTGGTAGCTACAGTTGGGAGTGGCTGCCTAAATACCAAGACTGGGACTGTCTGTGCAACTGAGGAAAGGCATATGTAAAATGGGTCTAACAGGATCTAGGCCACGAGTTCCTCCAAGAATGAAATGAAGTCCTGTAGTGGGTTGAATAGTGTTCCCTCCAAATTCATGTTCATCTGGAGCCTCAAAGGTGACCTTATTTAGAAGTAGGGTATCTACAGATGTAATTAGTGAAGAGGAGGTCATACCGGATTAGGGTGGGCACTAATCTAGTGGTTAATGTGCTTATAAGGCGTGGTGGTGTGGAACTTGATGAGGCTGTCGCAGTGGGGTAAGTGTGGGCAGCCTTTCTCTCCACAGCATCGGAGGCAGGAGAAATTCTGCCTCAGACATTGTGCTCAGAGACACAAACAAGCTAATTTCTGCCTGCTCCCCCAATAGTAGGATTTCTCTTGCTTGTCCTTGTGCTTATTGTTATTGTTGGGCAGTTTTACGAGGTGAGATAAATTATCAGCAGAGGAGAGGACACTCAGAGACACACACAGGGAAGGTCATGTGAAGATGGAGGAAGAGATTGGAGTGAAGCAGCCACAAACCAAGGGATGCCAAGGCTTACAGAAAGCTATTGGGAGCCAGGAAGAGGCAAGGACTCATTCCTTCCTGGAGCCTTCAGAGGGAGTGTGGCCCTGTGATACTTTGATTGCAGATCTCTAGCTTCCAGACCTGTGAGAGAACAGTGAGGGAGCTGTGAGAGCAGTGTCTGTTGTTTTAAGCCACCCAATTTATGGTCTTTTGTTATACGGCCACAAAAAACTATTAAAGATACTTGTGTAAAATTTCTGGCATGCAGCTAGAACATGCTAGCATTCTTTCCTCGCCCTTCTTTTCTAGTAACTTTGCAACGAGTTTTCCCAAATACCAGTCAGTTATTTGCTTACAAGGAAGAAGTGATCCTGAAAGCAAAACCAAAACTCAGTAGGCTGGGCTTCAATCCTTCCTAAGAAGTGATTTGAATCACAACTGAATTGCAATGACGTCTTTTCTCAATGGAATATACTTCCATTATCTGATGGCTTTTCACTGTCCATCTTCCTGTGCCCCTGGACCAGCTAGGAGGAGTCCTGGCTTGGGTCTACTGGTTGTTGCAGTGGTCTAGGCAGCAACCTGAGGTTTTTGTTTTGTTTTCTTTTGGCTGTTTGCTTTGCTGGCTTCTATGAAGGAATCTGATGCAAAGAGCAACTTTTATTCTTTTTTTTGTTTGTTTGTTTCTTTGCCTGAGGAGCAAGTGCCAAGTCCTGATGTGAGTATCCAGTGGGGTGAGATTTTTCTGGTTTTGAGTTGGTGGTGTGGAACTTGATGAGGCTGTCGCAGTGGGGTAAGTGTGGGCAGCCTTTCTCTCCACAGCATCGGAGGCAGGAGAAATTCTGCCTCAGACATTGTGCTCAGGGACACAAACAAGCTAATTTCTGCCTGCTCCCCCAATAGTAGGATTTCTCTTGCTTGTCCTTGTGCTTATTGTTATTGTTGGGCAGTTTTATGAGGTGAGATATTTTTATGTACAAAATAAACGTGCAATGAAAAAAATTGAACTATTCTTGAGATTATCTCAGCTTAGAATTTTTTAAGGGTTAAAATTTTGTTTTCCTGTGTCTGATGTGTTTTGAGTTATCCATTTGGCAGGGAGAGAACATTCCTGGCTAGCCTGTGTTTAGAAGCTATGCTCTAAAAGGAAGCTGTTTAAAAACAAAAGTAAAATGGTAATTACATTAACTTATACTACAGACAACCATTATTTAACAAAAAATGTGATCTTGGATCTACTAAAAGGCTTATTTTTCTATGTGAAATGATGAAAGATTAGTAAAACAGAAGAAAACTGAAAGTATTTATTGCTCGCCACCTGGGTACACCTAGTAGTAGAAATGACAGTGGATTCATGTAAGAGAGCATTGAAGTGAGGAGGTCAAGTTTCAGTGAAATTGCCTATTAATAAGTTCTTCTGACCCTGAAATTCTCTGGTATGGTGGAAGGGAATCATGGACAATATATTTGACAAAGAGCACAGCAAGAATATTAAGTGTCAGCAGTAATCACACGATTGCATCAGGAGTCAAATGCTCCCTCCCAAGTTTCTAAGATCCTAAGATTCTATGAATGGTGAACCATATCACTTTTGCCACTCATAACTGGTTTATTCACCTTCATTATCTAACCTCTTACTGTCAGCAGGATCTTCCTTGTCTACTGCCTCAAGGTGTCTCCTTCCTGCTGTCTGTGAGCCTTTCCATTAAATTAGAGCTTTAGGTTCTCTGAATCCCAAGTGCCCCTAGCACAATAGGTGATCACTGAGTGCTTGTTGAGTTGTTTAACGAATTGATTTGATGAAATGGCAGATGAATCAACAGATGTGGGTTATTTGTATAATATACAGGTGGCAGTTTGAGGTTGATTTGAGAAGGAGATGATGCTAACATCTTCAGAGATGGGTCATGTTTCAGAGTTGACTTGCTTTACAATGCATTGGAAGAGATCCATAGATTGTTGTGTCATTTTTATTCCACATGGCAATGTCCAAATACACCAAATGCCTTAATTGCTTAATACCTGGGTTACCATGTGATGAGGCAACTACACCCTGACCTCCTATTGTCACACCCCACTGCAGCAAGACTTATTTATTTATTTATCTATTTTAGAGAGAAAGGAAGGAAGAGGAAGAGAGAGAGAAACATTGATCGGTTGCTTCCTGCACACACCCTGCCCAGGGATGGAACCCACAACCTGGGTATATGCCCTAACCGGGAATCGAATCTGCAACCTTTTGGTGTCTGGGATGTCACTCAACCAAACGAGCCACATGGCCAGGGCAGCAGGATTTATTTGGGTTATATGTGTTCCCCTAATCTTCAAAAAAGCTCAATGTATTGCAGGATAGATAAAGGACTCTGAAAGATTATCCAGACCAACCACCTCAATGCTTTTCCAGCTGTCTCTACCACACCTAAGGGCTGATTCCCAGTTCTTATTCTCCAGATTTCTCTATTATCTTCTTGGGATTTTCCTCCCTTGGGCCTGAAACACTGGGATGGGGGAGCTTCTCTTATTCTTAGGACTATTTCTTCTCTGCCTTCTCTGGTCTCCTACTCCTGTTCTCCAAATTTGGGGGCTTTCCTCAGAGTTCAGACCTTTTTTTTCTAGTCTCACCTTCTATATTCTCCCCCACAGAGAGTTGATTCATTCCCCAATGTCAACTAACATCTGCATATTTGAAATAACTTCTTTATGTTTATCTCTAGCCCTCAATTATGTCAAAAGCTCTACACTTACATTTTTCTTGAATGCCTTGTATTACTTCATGACTCAAACCGAACTTACCATTTCTCTACAAATCAGCTTTCCTTTTTTATTTTTATTTGTTTAAGTATATTTTTATTGATTTCAGGGAGGAAGGGAGAAAGAGAGCGAGAGAGAGAGAGAGAGAAAGAATCAACGATGAGAGAGAATCATTGATAGGCTGCCTCCTGCACACTCCACACTGAGGATTGAGCCCACAACCCGGGCATATGCCCTGACTGGGAATGAAACTATGACCTCCTGATTCATAGGTTGATGCTCAACTATTGAGCCACGCTGGCAGGGCAGAATCACCTCTTTCTTGATCTTATATCTCCTTTTTTTCCCTCTCAGTGATATCCATATTGTCTTAATAGTTTAACCTCAAAACCACAGTCAACTTTTTGCTTCTCTTTCTTTCCTATGTGGCTGATCACTTATCAATTGTTCTGTCAGCAGTCATGTCAATTGTCTTATCAAGGTTCTTCTCCAGGTCGATCCTCCCTAGACGAGAATGCAGTTGGCAGAACATTTCTGGCCACTGGTTCTGCCAGAATTTAGGCAACCATTTTTATAGAAATCCCCATATTGTTTTGTGTTACTCGTAACAAAGTACCTAAATTACCAGAGGTTTAGCAAAGAGTTCTAAGAGCCTAATAAAGTACAAAGAGTTCTTATTTTATCAGGGAAACAGAAGTGCACCCATTTAACATACCAGAAATGACTTACACTAATGTAAACACTAGAGTTGAGTAGTAGATACAATAGAGACAGAAGGAACAGCTTAAGACATTTACGAGAAGCTTATTCATTGTGTTAAATGCATAAGAATGTGAGGCTATTTAAGGAGATACTTAAGATGCAATACTATTTTTTCTTTTTTAATCCTCACCCGAGGATATTTTTCCATTGATTTTTAGAGAAAGGGAAAGACAGAGAGAAATATCGATGTGAGGAAAACGCATCGATTGGTTGCCTCCTGCTCACGCCCCAACCAAGGCCCTGGGCTCAGGAGGAGCCTGCAACCCAGATATGTTCCCTTGACTGAAATCAAACCTGGGACCCTTTGGTCGGCAGCCCAACACTTTATCCGCTGAGCTAAACTGTCTAGGGCTCCAATACTATTTTTAAGTACCTGAAGAAACTGAAATAGAGGAAAAATAAGATGAGATCAGACATGAGAAATTAGAATTCTCAAAGCACCTATAAGGTCCTGGTCATGGAAAGTGCATGCATTTTTCTGTGGCTCAGGCAAGAGGGGCCGGGTCAGGGAAGGTTTTGCAGGCCACACTACGGAGAACGACACCTTGTAAATAATGGGTGCTATTGAAGTCTTTTAAGCAGGAGTGACATGGTCAGGGTTCACCGGTCAGGATTCAGGAGATTGCTCTGCCTGCTAGGTAAAGGGGTAATATATTCAACAAATATTGACAAAGTGTTTACTTACTGCTAGACAATGTTCTACGGGCTGAAGTCATAGCAGTAAGCAAAACAGACAAAGATCCTTGATTTAAACAATCATATTCTTATGAAAGATGGTAGGCTATAATATAATAAATAAGTATATTATATGGTATAATATGATGTAATGAATGCTTTGGAAAAGAGAGACCGATAAGGAGAATTGGGAATGCCGGAGGGCTGGTGCTCTGGCAGTTTTACAGAAGGGAGTTTCAAACAGAAAAAGCAAAGAAGTGCCTGGTTAATGGGGATATGCACACTGGCAGAAAGGTTCATCTTTGGAGGGATGGATCTGGGGAAGACCCTGCACAGGCCTAGACATGGGCTTAGAGCCGTTGCGCATGAAATTCCAGCATCTCAAGGACCCAGAATGTGAAGGGGAGAGGCTCAAGATCACTCCTCTCAGCCCTGTAGATACCTCACACTGCAGGGAGAGGCATGGCCACAGTGGGATCCTCTGAAGCAGGAGGCTCGAAACAGTCCCCTTACCTGGGCTTTTGGAAGGATTTAGGATTTTGCTCTCAGTAAAATATTGAGCCATCAAAAGTTTTGAGTCACCTGATTTATATTTTTTTAAACAATTTTTCTGGCTGCTGTGTTAAGAATCAACTGTAGGAAGGCCAGGTCAGAATCATGGAGTCCAGCTGTCTGGCTATTGCAGTAATCACCACAAGAGATAATACTGAATCAGGCTGATATGGAAACAGTGAGAGTCTAGATACATTTGAAGGAAGGGCCTACTGGTATAAGACTTGTTAATGAATTGGATGCAAGTGAGAGGAGAAAGGAGTGGAGGAGGATGCCAAGGTTTGTGTCTGCCACCTTGCAAAGTGGAAGACGGAGCAGAGAGCAGCAAAAGTGGAAGGTCAAAATTACAGGGAGGAGGCTGTGCGATGGTGTAAGGAGAAATGACGAGGAGCTGGATTAAGACAATAGCAGTGGGAAGGTATAAGATGAGAGATGAGTAGGCTTAAGAGGACACCCAAGATTCTGACTTGAAGTGGGTGTTTACTGGCATTACAGGAAAATGGGGCACAAAGAGTTTTTATAAACTGCCCAAGGTCTTAGAGGCTAATAATGTCTAGAACCAAGATTTGAACTCAGATGTGCCTGACTTTAGAACCAGAGCTCTTAACCATTATGTGGGGCATATTATCCCTACAAGAGAGAAGGCTGCTGGCTGGAAAGTACCTTTACAACAGTGTCCACCTCTCAGTTAACAGTAGCTCAAGCAGGCAGTGTGCAAGGAAAGCCCCCTTGGATGGGCAAGGAAGAAGGGGAAGTTAAGCCCAGTGGTGGTTGAGCCAGGAGTCCTTTCTGTTGCCAGAACTACATGTTATGTGCTATCCATTTGTTCTCTAGAAGTAAGAATGCTGGATAAGTCCCAGGCCTGCAGGTGCAGCTTAAGATAATACGTTTTGTGGATATGTTTGCATTTTCAATAAGGAAAGTGATCTTCGGGTCTAGCTAAGGTGTGCCTTGAGCATGGAAATTGTGACTCCCTAT